CAGTTCCTACTATCTCTCCACAGCTACCCTTGTCAAGTTCCTCAAGATTCTGAATAAGAGTCATAACAGACTCAAAACATTAACCGGTTCCCCTCTCCACAAATAACTGCTAAACCTGAGTTTCTCCAGTATTGTGTTTTGATTTCCAACATCCAGAGCATTTCGCTTTTATTGCCCCCAAAACTCAACAAGAATAGATGAGACAAGGTCACAGATTACCCATGGAGGATAGAACACACTTGTGGGGCTAAACAGTCACCTCCTAAAGGACTGTAACCTTTTTTTAACAAAACAAAAAAAAGTACATCACAATGGAAATAGGCTAAAGTAATATGCGTAATTAGCTTCTTTCAGCCAGTAATCACAGCATACTGGTAACTGAATTACACTTTTCAATTTACGAGTGAAAATAAGCAATCCATGATAAAAGATTAGTTGATTAGTACACTCCATGCCGGTTCTCTTGCCTGTACCTATTTGCAGGCATTGCAGTGTCCGTGTGCTGTGCCACGGAATTACAATGCGGATCTTGATGAACTGCAGTTTTCGGCGAATTTTCTTTAACAGTTTGCACAGACTCAGAATCGGAGTCCTCCATGGTCCCCTGGAGCTTAGGCAGGTATTGTCATCCACTGGAGAGCTTTTCTGAATTAACCACGAAGGCCATCTACTAAAAAGGAACATAGAAGTTAAGTTGGACGACGTTCCAATGTCAGAACCGCTTCAACTGGTCTTGTCGATGCTCTCGGTTTCTTGCGTAACTGCGGACTTCTGAAACCGAATGGAGACACATCATCTGCAAATCGTCTTTCCCCCCCGCAACATGCTGAATGGCGATAGTCAAAAATGAAACAAGGACGCGCGTAGGTTGAGAATGCACATTGGTTGACAGCAGGTAATAACAAAATGATTCACAAACTTTTTTTTCTCTCAATCAGTTTACAAATGATGAAAATTAGGGCCTCATTTTAAACCAATGGATGCGGGGGGGTGCTGAGGAAGCAGCATCCATGAAGCCAGCAAAGATGCCCCATCCCTACGTGACCGAAACACTGCAGCTTCACACACTAATGCAATGCAGAGCTCCTATTTTCGACAACGAGCAGACAAGGCGATATATGGAGCAAGGAGCGCACTGGGAGCAAGAAGGAGACAGATAAATAAAGTCCAACTGACAACAACTGCCTAATACCGAGGCCGATTTGAGTAGGAATGGGGAAGAAGGTGGGATAAGTACCTATCCAGCCCCCATCCGGTACGCTGATTGGCTGGGCTGAGTCTAAACGTCCCATTTTTGAACGTTTCCAAACGGATTCCATCGGCCGATTGGCCGCTTCACCTATCGATCACATTGCCACCCGGCCAATAGCAGCAGCCCTCTGCAGAGCGGCGTCCACTGGATGAAAATGCGCACAGTTCGTTACAGCCGCTAACGGATTCCAACAATTGTCTGGCCCCACTCAATAAAAAAAAAAGTGTGACTCATTATTAAAAACAGCAACCGCGGTGATTATTTCGGCAGCTTTCCAGTGGGCCGTCAGATTTTCAGTTCCCAGCGCGTAACTGCCCGCGCGCCCGTTTATTTTCAACCGCCTCGAGCTGCCAACGGACTGTTGCTCCGCACGAGCTGATTGGTGCAGGGCCCTGCCCCTCCCCGGGAGGCGGGAACACGTTCATCCGCTCAGAACCACGACGAGGGGTGGTCGCTGTAGGCTGAACGTCGTCACTTAATGGCGAAGGTAGGGCTGACAACTTCAAAAAAAAACCACTAGCAGCATAACGTCCCTCGGTGACTGATATTATTTTGTCCCCTTTTTAATGGGCCCTTTTGGTTTGAAAGTAGACTTGTTCCCTCGATTTTGCTCCGCCATTCGGTGCGACCACTGCTGTTCTTCCTCATGATGTGGAGGTGCCTGTGCTCGACTGGGGTGGACAAGGTCAGAAGTCAGACGACACCGGGTTATAGTCCAACAGGTTTATTTGAAATCAAAGCTTTCGGAGTGTTTCACCTGACGAAGCAGTGTTGTGGCTGTTCCCCATGGACTCCCTTACTTTGGCTGCGAGTGAGCGAGAAATCGAAATTTTGTCTGTTTCTGCCTCGGGAATATTCCTTGTCCGGCATCCATACTCTTCTGAGAATCCTAAAAAGATTGATAGTCTTATTTTTCGTGAAGATATTTTTGGGTCTACCAATTACCTACCCCAAGGACTGCAGCGGTTCAAGAAGGCATTTCATCACCACCTTCTTATAGGAATAGGAGTAGGCCATTTAGCCCCTCGAACGTGTCCTGCCAGACAGTGAAATCATAGCTGATCTGTGGCCTAACTCCATATTCCTGCTCTTGACCTTTATTCCTTAATACCTTTTGCTGAAGAAAAAAAAAATTAGCTCTGACTTGCCATTTGTGAAAGAAAGTTCCAAACCTCTACCCTCTTTGTGTGTGGAAGTGCTTCCTAATATCAGAATGGTCTGGCACTGTCATTCTAGAATCCCAACCAGTGGAAATAATTTATCTATCCTGTTAATATCTTGAAGATTTCAATCAGATCGCACCTTAACCCTCTAAATTCTAGAGAAAACAGCCTTAATTTGTAAAAACAAATCTACTCCAAAACCTTTAAAAACTATCCTCCATTTAACCCCTGAAGTCCAGGTATCATTCTTGTGAACCTATGTTGCACTCCCTCCAAAGCCAATGTATCCTTCCTGTAAATCAGCTCACTACTCCAGGTTGGGTCTAACTTTTTGAAGGCTTGAAGGTCAACTATGGATGCGCTGAGACAGCAACACCCACATCCCATAAGTGAATAAAAATAATTTTGTCCTTCTCTCAGTCACAGTGATTGCCTCCTTACCCATCCCCTTCATTCCAAGACTGTGACTGGTCTTCTAGAATCCACAACCACTCTATGTCGAGGCTGACAGACCCCTATCTACATCTTAACATCTTTGATTTAGTCAAACTGCATTAAAATAAAAGCAAACGACTTATGCTGGGTGTTTCTGCATGGATGCCGACAGACCTACTGATCATCTTCACCATTTTCTGTTTTAGTCAAAAAATGCAGAGTCAGCTATTTTCACAGGTGTTTTAGGATAATTCCAGCCATTTTATCTGGTAAAAACAAGGAAAATTTGGTTTTAGTGCTATCATATTTGTCATCTGTAAACTCAGTATTGGTCTTGTGACCAAAGTGCAATCTTAATAAGAGATAGTAGGAACTGCAGATGCTGGAGAATCCGAGACAACAAGGTGCAGAGCTGGATAAACACAGCAGGCCAAGCAGCATCACAGGAGTAGAAAGGCTGACGTTTTGGGCCTAGACCCTTCATCAGAAATGGGGGAGGGGAAGGGGGTTCTGAAATAAATAGGGAGAGAGCCCCAGCACACCCGGCACTTTTCCATGCAACCGCAGGAAGTGCTACACCTGCCTCCATACCTCCTCCCTCACCCCCATCACAGGCCCCAAGAAGACTTTCCACATCAAGCAGATGTTCACCTGCACATCTGCCAATGTGGTATACTGCATCCACTGTACCCGTTGTGGCCTCCTCTACCTCGGGGAAACCAAGCGGAGGCTCGGGGACCGCTTTGCAGAACACCTACGCTCGGTTCGCAATAAACAACTGCACCTCCCAGTCGTGAACCATTTCAACTCCCCCTCCCATTCCTCAGACGACATGTCCATCCTGGGCCTCCTGCAGTGCCACAACGATGCCACCCGAAGGTTGCAGGAACAGCAACTCATATTCCGCTTGGGAACCCTGCAGCCCAATGGTATCAATGTGGATTTCACAAACTTCAAAATCTCCCCTTCCCCTACCGCATCCCAAAACCAGCCCAGCTCGTCCCCGCCTCCCTAACCTGTTCTTCCTCCCACCTACTCTCCCCTCCCTCCTCACTGACCAACCCCCGTCACATCTCCCTACCTACACTTATCTTTACTGGCTCCATCCCCGCCTCCTTGACCTGTCCATCTTCTCTCCATCTATCTGCTCCTCTATCCACCTTCTATCATCGTCCCCCCCACCTCTCTATTTATTTCAGAGTCCCCTTCCCCTCCCCCATTTCTGAAGAAGGGTCCTGACCTGAAACGACAGCTTTCCTGCTCCTCTGATGCTGCCTGGCCTGCTGTGCTCCTCCAGCCCCACACTGTTATCTCTGACTCCAGCATCGGCAGTTCCTACTGTCCCTGAATAAGCTCGGGTTGTTTTCCCCCATTTCTGATGAAGGGTCTAAGCCCAAAACGTCAGCCTTTCTGCTCCTGTGATGCTGCTTGGCCTGCTGTGTTCATCCAGCTCTGCACCTTGTTGTCTTGCAATCTTAATAATCTCATTTTAGTTGTTTCTCATAAAATCATAGAATTTTGAATAATCTTAATCAACCGATTCAGAGATGTTATGATATACCACTGGAGAGGGTGGGACTTGAACTTGGACCTCCTTGGCCAGAGGTAGAGACGCAGCCTCTGCATCAGATTGCCTCCATCTTGGAAGACTGAGTAGCAAGGCAGCATGTGGGCTTTTGCCTGGGGCTCATCTGCTCCCACCTGATTTTCTTTTTTGTTTTACTTCTGTTTCTTTTACGTTTCTGTTTTCTTTGGTGTCAGCAGCATCAGTGCTGCAGCCAGAGCGGGCCATGTGCAGAGTAGTGGCAGCCTCCGAGTGGTCGGAGGTAATCGCAAATGTGTCAACTCTTGGCAATTGGAGACGGCAGCGGCAGCAGCAAGGACGTCCTCCTGGCATTTTGGGCTAGCAGCAGCAGACTCTTCAAGAAAGGATGCCAGCAAGGCAACATCTTGGAGAAGGGCAGCCAGAGCAGGACTCTTGGCGAGGCAGCGGAGCCAAGGACTCCCATTTGCGGTAGGCTTGGAGAGGGGACTGCTGATATTGGCAAGGCAGCAGCTGCAGTGGCAACCACGAGGTATGCCCGGAGCAGGGACTTCTGGCATCATTGGAGCAGCAGCAGTGCCAGAGTTTCCTGATTGTAGTATCGGTAGGCTTGGAGTGAGCACTCTTGGTTATTGGTGAGTCAGCAGCAAGGAGCAAGGATCTTCTGGTTGCACTGCAAGTGTGGGTTCAGTATGGGACCTGGCATCAGCGGCAGCAACATCGGCCCGGCACCTAAAGAGTGACGATTCCTATGATGATGAGTCCAGTGCAGACAGCGGCAACGTGGTGAAGGAGCGGTGGCAGCACATGCATCATGTAGCTGGTGAGGTGACTCAGGACCTCATGGTAGAGGTGGCAAACTAAGATAAATTCTCTTTCAGTTTTTTTTTTACTCCTTTCATTTTTAAACTGTTCAAAATGGTGCCAGATTGTGGCAGCAGTTGAAGCTTTTCACTGTAAAATGCAAGGGACAATAAATTAATCAAACATCAAGACCCACAGCCAAAGAGTATTATAGAAGGAAAATGTCCTGTGGCCCATTATATCTGCTCCGGTCATCAAACATCTATTTATTCTAATCCCTTTTTCCACCATTTGGCTCATAGTCTGATATGCTATGGCTTTTAAAATGCTCCCTTTTCTTCCTTTCTCCTTTTGTCTTTCTTTTCCTGCTCTTTCCCTTTGTATTCTTTATTGTTTTCAATTTTGATGATGGATAAATTTCCAAAGTATGAATTTCTGTGTTTGTTGTGCAAATGTATATACTTTTTTTTTGTAAATCAGTTTGTCACCAGGAAAGCAAAGTTTACCAGTACTTCCTTGAAAGGTAGCAAAACTTACAAAAAAATTAAAGTAACACCAAATTAATTTTTAACAATAGTAAAAGAAATATAATCCAACTTTTAAAGTTTGTGTCTAACAAGATTAAGTGACATTCTCAGAGATAGTAAGAACTGCAGATGCCGGAGTCAGAGATAACACAGTGTGGAGCTGGAGAAACACAGCAGGCCAAGCAGCATCACAGGAGCAGGAAAGTTGACATTTCAGGTCGGGACCCTTCTTTAGAAATCAGTTTTTAATGTCAGCACTTGCACTTTCTGAAGACATTAAAAACCGATTTCTGAAGAAGGGTCCCGACCCGAAACATCAACTTTCCTGCTCCCCTGACGCTGCCTGGCCTGCTGTGTTCCTCCAGCTTCACACTATGTTATAGGTGATAATCTATTCTCTGCAGAAGGTCAAGGAAGATATCCACAGATGCAGATTGAGCTGCTTACTGTTTGCAGCAATTTTCTGTTTGTTTTCAGATTTCCAGCATTTGCATTTTTTTGAATCTGCATTCAAATTCTTCCATTAGACAACACTACCTTTTTAAAAGTATTCTCTATCCCTTCTCTCAGAGAGATTGCAGGAATAATGCCTGATACCTCACGTTGTGAAATATGCAATAACTTTAAAATTCAGAAGTGGTTAGTCACATTTTTGATTATTACATGAAAAATTGAAGCATAGACTAATCATTTGACAAGTGATCTCAATATTTCTATTGGCCCACATTGTGTATGCTTGTGTATTTGAACAGAGTTCATGCATTTGACAGTAAAATGATAAGACAAAATGCAGTATGAGTGATTATATGGTTGAGGTTATTTCCTTGGCTGTTGAATGATGGTAGATGTTTATAGAGCATATGTGCACATTTAGAATGCATTTACTGTTTAGTGAATGTGCAACACATTTGGCTCAAAAAGTGTCACAATAACTACATCTGCAGCTCATCAGTTTCTATTGGATCATGTAGTATACGTACCACAGTTAATTCCATTGCTTTCGGGGATGGAAAGGTGAAAATGGTCCACATTCTTAATTAAAAACCAAAAGAACTGCGGATGCTGTAAATCAGGAACAAAAACAAAGTTGCTGGAAAAGCTCAACTGGTCTGGCAGCATCTGTGAAGGAGAAAACAGAGTTAATGTTTCGGGTCCGGTGACCTTTCCTCAGAACTGATGGTGGCTGGGAAAACGTCAGTTTATATGCAGAAAA